TGATGTTCGACTCAGTTTCGTTTGTCTCCTCAGAGCCGCTTCCTGTCCGCAGCGCTCAGATATTGGACTATAAGGAGGCTCCAGAGACTGGCGTGGTGTTTGAAATCGATCCTCCGACCAGAAACGTCTTCAGCAGAGTCAACATCAGCTACGCTGAAGGACAGGAGCGCCGATCGATGCTCTATAAAGGTAGAACATTTCATTCTGTTTGTATGAGTGGGTGCTATTTAGTGTAATTTAGTGTTTTGTAAACCAATATGAGCCTTCTGCCTGAATGTGAGGACAGTTATTGTAGTTCACAGTCTCACTGGGAGGTGAAGGCACGTGAGTAGCGATAGAAGAATGTGTCTGTCTGAATAAATGCCTGGCCCCTTCCAAACTGAAGATTCTGATTGGGTAGAAATCCTCCGGGGAACTCTAGTGCGCCCTTGCCTTTCTCTAATGGAAAGCATTTCTGAAAGCACGTTATTCCACTTAAAGCGGCTTGAGACAACTGATGTTGTGATTTGGTGTTATATATAAATAAAACTAAATTGAACTGAACCAAGTTATTTCAAGTTTACCTGCACACACCTCAGTGGAGGCAAATATAAAGGAAAGAGGACCCAGGATTGACCCCCGAGGAACTCCATTTCAATTCAATTCAATTTATTTATAAAGCACCGAATCACAACAACAGTCGCCTCAAGGCGCTTCATAGTGTAAGGTAGACCCTACAATAATACACACAGAGAAAAACCTAGCAATCATATGACCCCCTATGAGCAAGCACTTTGGCGACAGTGGGAAGGAAAAACTCAATTTTAACAGGAAGAAACCTCTGACAGAACCAGGCTCAGGGAGCTGCGACCGGTTGGGGGAGTGAGAAGGAAGACAGTGTAAAAGACATGCTGTGGAAGAGAGCCAGAGATTAATAACAAGTATGATTCAGTGCTGAGGGGTCTATTAACACATAGTGAGTGAGAAAGACCAGACCTGATTTCAGCTGCTCCAGACTCATAGTCGATCAGTGCTTTGGTGTTCATGTCCTGACTGCTGACAGATGTTAACACAGCTCCAGGAATAAAGAGAGTGTTTTTGTGCTAACAGTTTCTTTCTGCTTGTTGTTTGTAGATTTCTACAGGGGGAAGACAGTGTTTAAGCACTGGTTACCGGGGATGTGTTACCGAAACATCACCTTCCAGCTGATCTCAGAGGCCACCGTGTACCAAACTGCACTGGTGACCCACAGTGACATCACTCACACACCGCTGCATCATCGGACAGGTGAGGCCCCTCCCACTGTGAGAGTCCAGTGCTTGCTCTGTACTGAGTAGATTAGATCGGCTCGGAGGCAGACCTTCCTGCATGAAGCTCTAAGTTCTACTTTCAGGAATCGTTGCCTTAGTAAATACAGTGAGCAGGTCTGGAGAACATGGCGGCCCGGTTCAGAGGCCTCCAGCGAGGACCTGCTGCCTCATTTTTTTAAACAGTGATGTATGATGAGACGGGAGGAGCTTTGTCTGGCGAGCTGACTAGCCATTTCCTGCTCAGAATAATTCACTCCCCTCTCTCCCCCCAGTGCCCCACCCTCCCCTCAACATCTCCTATAAGATCATCCATTTGAGCCAGAGGGCAGCTCCAGGTCAGCTCCCCGACATGCTCCCACATGATAGTGGGCAGCGATCCCCCCGCCAGGCCCGGGACGTCCCACTGATGGAGGAGCGGGAGGAGGAGGAGACCCAGGCTGAGGAGAATACCTCAGATGAGGTAATAGGAGTCACTTACGCCCCCTTCAACTCCACAAAAGTGTTGACGGTGAGCGCCCCCATTGATGTGAACAACAGCCGCACGGAGGAGGCAGAGCCTTCGAGCTACTGGCTGGATCCGACGGAGCCATCTCCTGCCGACAAGGATGAGGAGTTCGTTAATGGCGTGCTGCCCGAGTACGAAGACTCCAACGAGCCGGGCTCGGCCATGGCACTCCCTGCCGAGCCTTCTGTCCTGCCCACCAGGCTTCCGCCAGTCCTTTTGGAACTGCGCTGGCTGCCACCGCGCCCACCCACCAGCTACGACGGTTTCAACGTCTACATCTACAGAGATGGTAAGCAGGAAGCAGCTGAATAAAGAACATCTCAGATGTTCCCGTGTTGGCATCTGAACCTCTCGCTCTGCTCCTCAGGTAACTCGACAGAAACAGCGACGGTGGATGAAAGCACTCACGAGTTCTTTACAGAGTTAACGGAGCCGGGAATATACCGTGTGCAAGTGACCACACTGAGCTCGTCTGGAGACTGCGAGTCCCGAGAGAGCAGTGGCGACACTGCCTTCACCTTCTACCTCAGTAAGTGTACAGGAAGTGATTATGGCGCATGCAGCAGCGTGTGGCAATAAAGGATGGATTCAATCAAATGCATCTTTGTTCTAGTGTTGTCATTGTTAACGTAATCCACTTCCTGTTGACCTGCTCCTTCGCTGGTTTATTAATGGTTACAGGTCCCAGCGGCGAGCTGCTGGAGGACCTGCGAGAGCGTCCTCAAGCCGTCAGCGTCAGGCTGCTGGACTCGAGCACCGCTGCCATCTCCTGGGCGCCATCGTCGCAGAACCACAATGGGAGCCTCGTGTCAGTGGTTTCCACCACCTGCCTGAAGCCCAGCCTGAGCCAGAGGATGGAGAACACCTACTGCAGCGAGGTATGGCACGGCACTCATCACTGGCCGCGCACCGCAGATTGAAGCTCACACAGGGGGGGGGGTCTTTTGAATAAATAATAAAAAAAATTTAATACATATATATATGTGTTTAAATATATAATCACAGGAAAACTCGACGAGTGACATCATCACCAACCTGACGCCGGGTGCTCAATACCGGGTGGTCGTCTATCACACCAATGGACCCCTGATCAGCCCGCCGTCGGAGCCCGTCATCATCGATATCGGTGAGCGTCACTTTATGCGTCTTTTTCAGTCCCACTTCCTGTTCACTGCTCCTGTTCTTCCTGTTCCACTCTTAAATCCCGCCTGTGTCGGTGTGCTGTGTCAGAGCCCACCGGCGTGCGCGAGCTCACCGTTTACCCCCTGAGTCCAACGGCAGTGATCCTCAGCTGGCAGCGTCCATACCACGTTGCCTTCAGGAAATATGTGTTGCAGACCTTCTTCTTCAACCCCGTCACGCTTGCCTCTGAGTGGACCACCTACTACGAGATCGCCGCCACCGCCTCCGTCATCGCCTCAGTGGTAACCAGTCTGTCTCCGTCACAGGAAACATGTCATGGCACCATGCCGCATCCACCTCACCGTATTTGTCTCTATTTCCTCTCAGAGGGTGACTGACTTGCTGCCTGCCTGGTATTATAATTTCCGTGTTTCCATGGTGACGTGGGGTGACCCACCGCTCAGCTGCTGCGACAGCTCCACCGTGAGCTTCGTCACAGGTGATGCCTCACCGCTGCAAGGACGCTGCGAGGGAGGCTGGGCCAGGATCCAGCAAACACACTTAGACTTAAAAATAGAATAAATAGACTTTTAAATTTGTTTTTACTGATTTATTTAGTTTTTATATAAAGAGACATTTAGACACATAATTTCAAGCCATTTTTTTCTTCATGAATATTTTTTATTCTTCTGTATTCATCCATCAGCTCTAAAAATAAATCAAAAATAAATTAAGAAATAAAAACATGCAAAATTAAAACACATTTTAGTGTTTAACATTTTAAATATTTTTTTTTATTTTGTTTAAATATTACTCAATTTGGTCACTCCCTGAAATAATACAATAAATATACAATTTAAAATTTATGCATAAAAATAGAAATAAATAAAATAAATGTATATTTTTAATGATCTAATTCATTTTGTTTTTATTTTATATCTTTTTCTGGGTTTACTGATAATGCAGCTCACACATGAAGAACAAAACGCATGACTTTTTATTGTTTCTTACGTTTTTTTTTATTTTGGCTTTTATTTGCTGATATTTCTTGTGAAGATCCAGACGGCACATCTTTAATGTGTCTGCAAACGTATGATGCAGGTCTCCTTCCTCTTCCTCCTCTCAGCTCCCGAGGCGCCTCACATCTCCTCTGTGGATTACTCTCATGGCGTTCTGTACGTCCGCTGGACATACGGCGAGCTCTTCATTGACCTGTCGCACTCAAGGATGCTGCACTGGCAAGTGGTCGCTGTCGGGAAGAAGGGACCGGAGAAGACGTACTCCGTTGACGTGAGTCCAGACACATCTGTCTAGGTGTTCACGACACTCTGAGACACGTTCTCGCTGTTTTAGGTGTATTTGTGCGTTTGTGTGGTGATGAGTGTGTCTCCAGCAGCAGCTCATTATTTCAGGGTCGAGCGGAGCTGTTATTGACTCTCTCCTTCGGGTTGGTTCGATGGTCTGATTAGCAGCAGGAGAATGACCTGCAGACGTCGCTGCTCTACGAGTCCAATTACCACCGTAGCCTGAGCTCGCTTCTGTGATCAAGTGTCTGAGGGTCCCAAGCCATGTTGGAGGTTTAATTGAGAGCGTATACAAATGGCGTGTAGATGTCAACTATATTCAGGATGTTAAGCAGTCTTCATTTCTACTAGATTGCTACTAATAGTTCTGATAAATGTGTAAACAATTAAACCAGCTTACAAAAACACAACAAACAAGAGAAATGTAACTTTATTTTGAAGAATTTATGTGAAATAGAAATCTCAGTAATGAGCATTGACCTCGGGGACTGAAACCAAAAATTACTCTTCCTTTTCCAAATGTGGTCAAATGTGTATATAAAAGATGAGCATAGCCACCATGACATCATCCATTAGTTTTGTTAGCATTCTGGGCGCCAGCTCGTTGTTTTCTTGTTTCTTAAAATGTTTGTTTTGTTTGGATAAGAGGGTGGAATGCTAAGTTATCATCTAATGCTAGCTAACTTGGTTAGCATTGTTTAGCAAAGTTTGTCTCTATAATAACCTCACAGCAGCTTTATTATTGGTCAGATAATGTCATTAAAAATGCTCCAAAAGACTCCAACAACACAAACACAGTCCAGAGGTCCAGTTTGCTAAATGTAAGCCTAACTGACAGCTGGCAGATACAGCCACCTGTCAGTCAAAGAGGCCACACCCCTAATAATGTAACCTGAGAGTTTCTGCGGACTCCATCACTGCTGGGGCCTCTGCTGGAGGTTAGAGGACATGGCTTTGCAAAGCAATGGCTAATGTCACATTGGTGATGTCCATCTTTTATATACAGTCTGTTCGGTCTTTGAGGTTGAATGTAATTTAAAATTATAATTAGATATAAGAGTACAAAGACTGAGTCAGCAGGTCTGCAGAAGTTTAATGAAGCTTCCACACTCAGAGCTGATCATTTATATTTAATCGTTAGTTCGTGGTGGAAGCAGACGGTCACAGTGACTAAACGGAGACACAGACAGCTGTGAGGATTTACTGCAGGGATATTTTTAGTTTTATTCAGGGCAGATTAAAAAGATATTTAAGGAAAATACCTGCACTGTTAATCTTTCAGCAGCTCCGCGTGGGACAGAGGCAGAGCAGAATATGACCCCATCAGATGGAGGAAGGGGGCACTCAGGACTGACTGTGTGCACGCTGTTCAAGTGTTATTTACATGTTGTTTACGTGTTGTTTACATGTGGTGCTGTGTCAGGTGACTCGGAATGTGATGCGGGCAAGCCTCCCTCTGCCTCCCGGAGACATCTACAACCTGACGGTGACGGCATGCACAGAGCGCAGCAGGAACACGTCCACGCCAAACATCATCAAACTGGGTCAGCGAGTATTCACTGCAATTAACAAAGATATAATAACTCTAAGAAAAACAAAGAATACAAAGGTATTCACTGCTAACAGACTAACTCCCCCAAAGTTCCCAGAGTGCTTTTTCAAAAGAATCATCCCAGTTTTCTTGAGAAAGCATAAATGATTTATATTAGTACACTATAACTGAAAGGCCGACCTTTAACTCTGTAATTCTCAGAGCTGTAAAATTGAGTTAAAGGGAGGGTTAGCTTCTGGATTACACTCAGTATTAAACTCCAGTAAAAGTTTGAGCTGTTGCTGAGAAAGCATCACGCATTAAACCAAAGAAATCACTTTAGACCTGAGAAAAAGAATCAGTTATGCTCATAAAGCAGGAGGTGGATTTAGAAAATTATCAAGTTATAATGTTGAGTAATGAGGCTGCAGACTGAGAACAATTCCACTTCTGCAGAAGAGAC